AAAATTTGATGGGTCGTTTCACACACCAAATATAAATACTAAACTATACCAAATTCTTTTAGAATAATGACAAGTCCAGGTATCGATCCACAGGGATAATTGTGAAATTAAACTAATTTAATTGCTAAATTCCTAAATTAATTTTGGTTAAAAGGATTGAGGGATATTATGACTAAACAAGAATTAAATGAAATTGAGAAATTAAATTGACAATTGAAATTAGGGTTTAAGATACTGATTTTTGAGAAAATCTTACGGCAAAGAATTCACCACTAACTATATAAATAAGACTTAACAACAACCATCAATTGCAATCCAGTTTGAACTACCCAATATTTCACAACTACAAGTTTAAGACATTGATCAAGAGGATGGTTGTGTTCAATGTATAGGCATGAGTCATCTCAAGTAGCACGAGGTGTTTGCTTTAAACTATGGTAGCAATACGACCCATCTCTCGTAGCATGACTCGTCTTATACTTTGAATACAACAACAAAGAAAACTAATGTATGAAAAGTATTAAACAATCACAGAGAGTAAAACACTTGAAGAGATGAAAAAGAAAAATATTATAAACTTTTAAAGTATCCATACATTTATTCAAACTGTTTCACAATCAAAGCTTTAAAAAAAATCCCTTTACGTGGTTAAGGTTTCATCAAAACCCTAAAATTGAAAGACTAGCCCCTCATGGAGAAGTGAGAAGAGGAAGAGGATGAAAAAGAAGCCCCCATGGAAGTTGTCCTTCAAGCTTGAAGAGAATCACTCTTTTCAAACCCTAGTCTCCTTTTTTCTTCAAATAATTTTCCAACCCTTTTACAGCCCATTTTTCTTCCTTTTATTCCCAGCAGAATAGACTGAAAATTTCACACATGCAACCTTAGGTGGGCCGTTCGAGTGCCCATGTAGGCCGCTCAAGCGATGATGGACCGCACGTGCGGTGAGATGGCAGGCCGGACTTTTTCGTTCCTCACACGGAGAATCTGCTTTCGCGCCCTTTTTGATTGAATATGTGTGTTACCTGCCAAATCTGTACAAGTGTACAAAACACATCATCTCCACAAAATAAACAATATTGGAAGACTAAAAATGTAACTTAAATGGCCTCAATATGATACCTTTCGGCCTACATCAATGTGATATCCTTTGGATTAAAAAATGTACATAATAAATTTCAAAATATAATGAATGAAATATTTAATGCATTTAGTCATTTTCCCATGGTATACATTGATGATGTTATATATATAATTTGATTTATTTTCATCTTTAGTGAATTTTTTTACTCAATTTTTAATTTTTAAAATCATATAATTGAAACAGATCTAAAAAGTCAAAAAAAAAAAAAATTCGTGGGGAAAAAAAAGAAAAATATGCTTGGTTTCACTTTTCAAACAACATTTTTCAGAAAATTTTACTTTCTTATTTTTCGTGTTTTTTTGTTTTTACTGATTTTTTTTAATATTTTAAGCAATTTTTTTTTTTAATTTTTAGGCATACCTAACTTAAATGTATCTAAAAAGTAAAAAATTTGTGAAGAAAACCTTTTAAAAATTCACTAAATACCCAAAATGCAAAAAAAAAAAAAAACGAGAATTTAGTATATTTTTTGTATTTTTATGTATTTATTAATTTTTTAAAATATTTTTTCACAAATTTTTTACTTTTTAGATATATATAAGTAAGGTGCATCTAAAAAATAAAAAAAAATATTTAAAATTTAAAAAATACTCACTAAAAATAAAAATAAAAATAAAAAACACGAAAACTAAAAAACTAAAAAACTCAAACCAAACACACTGGTGGTATAACTCAGAGCACGGGTAAGATCATCCAAGATAAAAAGGCTCAGGAAAAGTATATAAACATATCAAATAAGGAGAGGTTTGGTAATTTATTTAGTAATTTGTTTAGGATCCCTAGCATAACTCTTTCAAGTTTCTATGATAGTAGAGTTGATTAGTAACATTTAATGTATTCTTAACAAATACCCAACTCTTGATGATATTTCATATTTTAAAAAAACAAAAATTGTTATTAATGCTATCATATACATGATTTTCAATGTATATCATCATTTATATATTTTTTTTAAAAAATTAGTTGACCTAATAATCACAAATGTTTGATTTTATAGCATTTGTCATTGAAAAAATAAATGACAAAATAATAAAAAATATTACCATTATCCAATCGACTTATTTTTTTCATAAATAATATATATTGATAATAGTCATATAAAATAATTGATTCAAGTTATGAAATGGGACTTATGAGGAAAATTATTCAATACTTTCAGAGCACCACGTGTTCATACTCCAAACCAATCACCAATTATTTAGTCCCATATTATTCCTGCATTCCTAACATAAATCATGAACTCTTATCCCTCCTCTCTTCACCAATCAAAATTTTATGAAGCATCACGTGTTTATATTCCAAAAAAACTGAATAATCACCCGACTTATGATAAGTCTTGTGAACCTCAAAAATTTTCTCATAATGACAAATGACCTAAGAAGAGTCCAACTCAATCAAAAATTACCCTTGTTTCGATTTGAATTCGAATTTCACTATCTTTTTCTTTTTTTTTTTTTTATGGGAAATTGATATTAATGCAATTTGCAAAGCATCGAAAGGAAGATGCCCCCCAGTGCTGAATTGGGATCCTCCCCTTGAGTCCCCTCCTTAATTCCCTCCTTGCAGGGGCTTTCGGGTCCACTTTGAGGCCCAGTTTTGATAATCCGAACCGTTAATATTTTTAGATTTATTCAGTATATCATACCTGTAAAAAATCAAATTGATCGAATATCATAAAGTATGTGTTCGGAAAATTGTTTATTAAAAAATAGTTTGTAGTCCCAATTTTCTGAACGCATACTTTCTGATATCCGATCAACTTGATTTTTTACAGGTATAATATACTGAATAAATCTAAAAACATGAACGGTTCGGATTATCAAAACTGAGCCTCAAAGTAGACCCGAAGACCCCTGCAAGGAGGGAATTAAGGAGGGGCTCAAGGAGGGGATCTGGACTCCCCCAGTGCTACCCAACTGTGAAGGGTGATGGGGTGAATGCCTTATTGGCACTGGCAAATGCTCCCTTCCTCGTTCACAACGCCTGCTGCCACGTGGAGAGCTTTTTTTTGGCACTATTAATCATAAATATATATATATATATATAGAGCAATACTAGGTATCATAAATTTTTTTTATGAAAATGATCATGAAAAATTTATGACTCTTGGATTACACTTAAAATAAAGTACCACACACTAATCAAGGTAATCCAAGGGTGATAATTCTTTTATGATCATTTTCATGAAAGTTTTTTCATGATCCTTAACTTTTCTCATAAATATATATATATATATATGAAAAATGCTTGGGAACACTAATTAGTGCTCCCACTAATTAGGTGGCAGTGGGTCCCGTCAATAATGATGTGATGTTTTGGTCTTGGAGTTGTGTTTTTTTTTTTTTTTTTTACTTTTTTAATGCATTAGTGCTATTAGTGATGATATTTTTTTTAAATATTTTTTTTACTTCTTAGACATACTTAACATAAATATACTTAAAAAGAAAAAAAAATGTAAAAAATCTTTTAAAAATTCAATAAATACCAAAAATATAAAAAAAAATACAAGAACTCAGTAAATTTTTTATATTTTTATGTATTTATTAATTTTTTAGAATATTTTTTCACAAATTTTTTATTTTATAAATACATCTAAATAAGGTGTATCTAAAAAAGTAAAAAATATTTAAAATTTTAAAAATATTCACTAAAAACAAAAAAAAACATGAAAACTAAAAAACTCAAACCAAACACACTGGTGGTATAACTCAGAGCACGGGTAAGATCATCCAAGATAAAAAGGCTCAGGAAAAGTATATAAACATTTCAAATAAGGAGAATTGATGAAAATAATAGTTTAGCATAACTCTTTCTAATAGGAAAATGCTATAGACCCCAAACAAATTACCAAATAAATTATCAAACCTCTCACATGGGTGTGGGACCCACACACCACACCCATGTGAGAGATTTGGTACTTTATTTGGTAATTTGTTTGGGATCCCTAGCATAACTCTTTCTAATAAGATATATTTAGTCTTTTCAAGTTTCTATGATAGTAGAGTTGGTTAGTAACATTTAATGTATTCTTAACAAATACCCAACTCTTGATGATATTTCATATTTTAAAAAAACAAAAATTGTTATTAATGCTATCATATACATGATTTTCAATGTATATCATCATTTATATATATTTTTTAAAAAATTAGTTGACCTAATAATCACAAATGTTTGATTTTATAGTATTTGTCATTGAAAAAATAAATGACAAAATAATAAAAAATATTACCATTATCCAATCGACTTATTTTTTTCATAAGTAATATATATTGATAATAGTCATTTAAAATAATTGATTCAAGTTATGAAATGGGACTTATGAGGGAAATTATTCAATACTTCCAGAGCACCACGTATTCATACTCTAAATCAATTACTAATTAGTTAGTCTCATGTTGTTTCCCTATTTCTAACATAAATTGTGAGCCTTTATGTCTCTTCACCAATCAAAACTTTATGGAGTACCACGTGTTCATATTCCGAAAATACTGAATAATCACCCGACTTATGATAAGTCCTGTGAACCTCAAAAATTTTCTCATAATGACAAATGACCTAAGAAGAGTCCAACTCAATAAAAAATTACCCTTATTTCGATTTGAATTCGAATTTCACTATCTTTTTTTTTTTTTTTTTTTTATGGGAAATTGATATTAATGCAATTTGCAAAGCATCGAAAGGAAGATACCCCCAGTGCTACCCAACTGTGAAGGGTGATGGGGTGAATGCCTTATTGGCACTGGCAAATGCTCCCTTCCTCGTTCACAACGCCTGCTGCCACGTGGAGAGCTTTTTTTGGCACTATTAATCATAAATATATATATATATATATAGCAGACTTCCCAAGCATCTTCACCAAATTTCTTTTTCATAACCATCATTTTAGAGAGAGAGAGAGAGAAAGAGAGAGATGGAGATGGAACTTGGAGGTAATGGAGGCTTCCATGGCTACCGCAGACCCCCTCAAACATCCTCTGGTACGTATAAGTATACAAAATACATATTTCTCTAAAATCTCTCACTCTCTCATAAAGAATTCCTAATCCTAAATATTTATATGTATGTCCTGTTACACCATCAAAAAAATAAAATAAAAATTATATATATCATCTATATGTATATATGCATGCTTTTTAATAATCTTTTAATTAATGGAGCAATCTTCTTCTATAGTCTATTTCACCCACATGCAAGTGTCTACAGTTAGTTTTAGCTCTCTCTCTCTCTCCATGAAAACAAGCTTCATTCATTCAAGGCTTTGTCACCCACCTTATGTATTTTGTGTATTCTATGTGTATTCTAGGATTTACCATTGAGCTCAGTTCATAAACATGTAGGCATTGTTCTGCATATAAATATGCTCATATGTGATTTAAGATTTATATATATATATATATATGTATGTATAGAGTTTGATATGCATTTAATGTTATACAATGAATTTGATTATCATCATTTGTCTTTCACGACCTACTTTATCTTTTGATGTTTGATTCTTTTGTTTTGGGCGTTTTGTTTGGACATGGACCACAAAGTAACTAACCTCATTTAAGCTCATAAAACTGACGAAATTTGAGTGAGAAAAACGTGAAACAAGTGGCGTGCATGCAGTGTGTAGCATAGCATCTCACTTGCACACTGCCTCAACACTTGTCTTTCATGCAATTCCCACCCTCATCTCTCTCTCTCTCTCTGTCTCTCTCTCTTCCCTTTTTCTCATGACCCGGAAACTGCACTAGCTGTTTCCATCTTCCGGGCAGGTTTCCCGCATTACCTATTGATTTATATATATATATATATATATATCAGTTTTTAATACCAACCGTTACATATGGAGATTTTGAATTTTCAATATCGATATTTATCAATGTATCAGCTAATATGATTCGATATTAGCTATATACAAATGTATCGCCTATACTATAACACTCACCTCCCCGCCTCACATTGAAAGATAGCATCAGTGATGTTGGGCATACAAGGACTACTATTAGCTACTAAATAACTTAGTTTTAAGTATTTGGATCATATTACTAGATCCACGAGTTATTTAGGCCAATAAACGGTAGAGCTTGTAACGGTACTCGAGCCGACCCATTCACACAATCATGTGGGTTATTATTTTAAACTAATCATGAGTTTGTCATAATATTTGGATTAATTGTTAGTACCGGACGAGGACGTAAGTGTTTAATGAAGAGAAGTTTGTATCTCGTCTCAAATCGGAAATTTGTATGGATAATCTAACACATGTAAAAAATTTCTAATTTGTTATTAAATAACTTAAACTTAAGATTTTGGGTCTTGTTGATTGACTCACAAGTTATTAGTTCCAACCTATAAAGCACGTGTACTAAGATAAACATGTCATACATGGCCCGGATATTTATTGGCGTATAGTATTTCGTATTATATTTATGCATATGTATCAGATATACGAAATACGCATTTAAAATTTTTCTTCTTAATTTTAGACATATCCAAACGTACCTAGTATATATTCAAATCATATCGTATCTTAGTCAATATAATATATTTTTTTACTGCAGAGATAAAATGCTTTTCATTAGATTTCTTTTTTATTTTTAATTTTATATTTAGCATGATTTTAAAATTAAGGTATGATTTTTAATATAATGACATTTAATTTTGGGTTATACCTTTACTTTTGATATTAAATATTAATTGTAGATTGGATCTTAATAAATTAAACCATTTAATCAATTTTTGTATTACTCTAAATTAAAAACTAATATTTTTATACAAACGTACTACCCGTATCTTTTTATTTATTTATTTATTTATTTTTTATTGATTTACTCATATTGGACCAATTGCACCCGTACCGTGCTTGATAGGTCCAACTAACAATGGGGTGTTACAAACAGATACGAATATGATGCTATTTAAAACGTGATATATATATATATATATATAGTAGAACCCTTACATGCTACAAGATATCTAAACAATTTTATTGGCTAAAAACACACTAGAATTTAATGTTATATTTAGATTATAAATTTATATAAAAATTTAGAAATTGAGAAAAAAAAAATGACCTTACATTTTATTTATATATATATATATATATATATTATTTAAATTCATGATTCAAATGTAATGTAAAAAAAAGAAAAGAAAAGAATACTGTGTTGGAAACGGGATGTGAAATGAGTCCTTAATAAAAGAAACGAAAAAATGTTTAAAAATGAAACCGCAGCCAGGTTGCAAAATTTGATTCTCGATTAATGTTTGCCTGCGGTCTCGTTTAAAAATATATTATTTTAATTTTTTATAAAAAAAATATATAAAAAATAAAAATAAAAATATAATAATTTATTATGACTTTTTAATTTTTTAAATTAAAATATGTAGGCCTTGTTTGGTTTGATTTTGAGAGAGTAATTTTGGAGAAAATTTTTCAAATTTTTGTTTGATTTAGTGATTTTAGAAAAAAAATTCAAAATTACTTTATCTCTTTTACACATCAATTAATCACTTTTTCTCTCTCTTCTCTCATTCTCAATCACTTTTTCTGTCACACACATCTACTGAACTACAATAAAATATCAAATCATTCCAAACTCCCATACTCCAAAACTATTTTCAAAATATATAAACAAATAAATTAAAAAAATTTCTAAACACTCTCTCTCTCAATTTTTTTTAAAAAATTTAACACGTAACTAGAAGACAGCAGATAAGGCGAAAACAATGAATTTGAACGCTCTGTGCAAGGTTGTCTGGTTGTGTTTGTGTCAATGTTCATTTGTCGGTACTTAGATTTGTCTTCTTGTACTTGATTTACTTTTGTTCTCTATTGCCCACCTCCAACTCATACACTCACGTAGTGTGTGTGCTCTCACATGCACTGCACGTGTCAGAGTTCCATCAACATTAAGGGGTGTTTTGAAAAGATGGTTAAAAATTAATTTTTTTGTGAGAAATGATATGACCCAAAATAGATTAAAAATTGATTTTTGACTTTTTTGACATGTTGCCAAAATAGCCCTAAGGTTGATTTGGAAATTGGTTATTTTGGTTAATTTTTTAATTGATAAATTATGTTGATAGTTTTTGCATTTATCTCTTGTATTATTTTAGTTTATGTAATTTTAATTAATTCGATTTTGACATTTAATTTTAAACTTTGTATTAATTTAATTTAATTGATAATGTCGATTGTACTTTTTGAAGGAAAGAGATTGACTCACTGAGTTAAACACGTTTATAATTTTGCCTATAAAATTATTATGCATGTTGTTTATGTGCACATTTTTTTTAATCAAAAAACACTAACTTACCGTTGTAATCAATTAAATTAAATTGAGACAACATTACAAATTCAAAATTAAAATCGAGTCAATTAAAGTTACAAGGTTCAAAATGACATAATGGCCAAAATATAAAAATTATCTATATAATTTACCTTTAATTTCATATTTTTAATGAAATTATTGTATCATGTCATAATTTGGTTTGCATTAAAAAATAATCAATCTTAACACACTAATTTTTGTCATTATATGTTTTGTATCGTTAAATACATATTATGTTTAAAAAAAAGTCGTCATTAATATTGGAAAAATGATATGTAATTCTATTTTTTAGATTTATTTTTTAGACTCAATGATGTATAAGTGAGATGATTGGTTGATAATTATAGAAGATATAAGAGAGATAACAAATAAGAGTGATTAGTTGATTGATCATTAAGTTTGAAAAATAAGTCTAATTTTGGATTGAATAACACTACCCTTAATCTTTGTCTTCTCTAGTGCATTTTATTCTTGAGCTAACCTTCTTGCCAACTGGTCAAAAGTTGGATTAGTGCAGATTAGTTCAGTAGATCCACTATCACTCACAATTTTTTTTTTTTTGAATAACAAAATCTAAATTTTATTAAAAATTTGAAATTAAAGGTACAAAAAATAGAATGCAATGAGAAAAATTCAAAAAATATAAACTACCCCTATGCTAACTATCACACTCATTGATGATCTAAATGTGTTTGAATATAAAACAATGTTTTTAAATGATGTCCTTGTCGGTAGGTCATATAAAACAATGTTTTTGAATGATTTATATATTCACATAATTCTAGAAGCTTTGATTCGAATTTTTGAATTTAATTTTTTGAAAATTGAATTTTTTGTTTTTCTTACTTTTTTGTTTTTAGTGATTTTTTAATATTTTAGTCAATTTCTTTTTTATTTTTTACATGCACCTAATTTAGATGTACTTAAAAAATAAAATATTTGTAAAAATTCAATAAATTCACAATATTACGAAAATGTACTGAATTTTTCGATTTTGGATTTTTTTGTTTTTGCATTTTTGTTATTTAGTAAATTTTCTAAAGGCAAATTACACTAACGATCCCTATAATTTGAAGTTTGTGTTATTTTGACCCCTAACTTTTCAATTGTGATATATTTAATTATGAATTTTAAATATTATTCCAAATAAGGATAATTGAAGATACCATTCCTTAATTTCAAGGGTAAAAGTGTCAATTTGATAAAATGTAAATTAATTTGACAAAAATAAATGTCAAAAAATATTTTTGAATTTTTAAAAATTATTTCTACATACTAAAGATAAAATTATGTAAAATTTATATATCTTTTAGACATTTATTTATTTTACCAAATTAATTTTTATCTTGTGTTTAGATGATGATTACGTAATGGCTGGTTGTATTTATTTTTATTTAATTAGTTTATGTTTTGCCAAACATCAAATATGGTGACAATTTTGATATCATTATTAAACGAATCTATTAAATCAAAAAATTAAAAATATTTCATATATTAAACATATAGATTACACATTAAAATTCTAACAATCACCCACTACACAACCATCATTCAAACACATAATAAAAATTAATTTGGTAAAAAAATAAAAATAAATAAATATTTAAAAGATTTATTAATTTTACATAATTTTATCTTATGTGGGTAGAAATAATTTTTGAAAATTTAAGAATATTTTTTGATATTTATTTTTGTCAAATTAGTTTATATTTTATTAATTTGACGATTTTGCCTTTAAAATTAGGTAATAATATTTTCAATTGCCCTTATTTAGAACAAGTTTCAAAATTCAAGGTCAAATGTGTCACAATTGAAAAGTCGGAAATTAAAGTGACACAAGTCTTAAATTATAGGGACTATTAATGTAATTTGCCCATTTTTAAAATAATAAAAAAAATCCCAAATATTATATTTTTTTAATTGTATTTATATTAAGTGTATCTAACAAGTAAAAAAAATTATTCAAAATATTTAAAAAATCACTAAAAAAAATAATTGAAAAATAAAAAATTCTATTTTTAGAAAATTGAATTCAAGAAATTGGAACCAAACAAGGTGAATAATTCAAATCATTGAAGTAGGCCTAATGGTAAGTCTACTTAACAAAACTATCAGTTTAATCCTCTCCCAGATGGAAAATGATAGACATTCCTACTTGGATTAGGAATTTTTTCTTTACCAACTACATGAGTGTGGTCTCGGTTAGCTCTTAGATGATCTTCACCTTCCAAAAAAAACTCCTCAATCCTTTACAGATTGAACATTCATTGTTCCATAAACAAACTCATCTTCAAAAGTGGAAAATGAGAAAAAGTTTCGTGAAAGAATCGCTAATCTTAAACTTGTTCAGGAGGTTAGCCTCTCTATCAAGTTTAAGAAATCAAATTATAAGACTCTTATGAAATTGTAGGCGTGTTCGTTGATTGTTGCTTGGCCTAGCTTTTTTGGATTATCCTTGTATGTTAATTTACTTGTTAGATTTTTGTGTAGAAACTAAGCATGTGTTTCCCCTCCTCGAAGGATGTGTTGCCTTTAGGCATGTAATGAACCTTACTGTAATATTTATTTTTTTAGTATAAAACTTATGACTTATCTATAAATAAATAAAAAAACGTGTGGTCTCGCATGGATGTGACATTCAAACCATGTAATTGGTACAAAAATTTGTAATTTAGCCGGATATGTATCGAAATTGCTTTGGAGAGAAATTGGACCTTTATTTATTTTTATAAAAATAAATGCTAGTAATATATTGTCTCCCTATATTAATTATTGAAAATAATTCATCCCTTTAATTTTGCCCCCTCCCTCCAATTTCACCCCAATGATGTGGAATTAGAGGAGATTAAAGATGAGAGAAAAGGAATGTGAGATTGCTTCACATGAGTTTTAGACACGTCATTGAGAGTAGAATTGAGGGAGCAACAATTAGAGAGATATACTGAGACGGTTGATTATCACAACAAATTAAGATTTTAGAAATAAAAATTTGTAAACAAAATTATTTTTTAAGAATAAGATATTTTAATTATCAAAAGTGTCATTATTATATTTTTAACGAGAACTTGAAATTTAGTAATGAATTACTATTCTTTTGAAATGAAAATTTTCATCTCAAAAATTTAATTTTTTTTGTCCGAGAGCAATAATTTAAAATTGTCACTAAAGATCCTTTTTAACTTTTCATGCCGTAATGACTCACATGTTAACCAAAATTGGTCTCCTAATATTTTATAATAAAATGTTTACTTTTGAAAATGAAAATGATTAGTCCTAAAACTTTTATCAATAATGTTAGGTATCATGAATTTTTTTTTATGAAAATAATCATGAAACCTTTGTGACCCTTAAATTACACTTAGAATAAAACACCACATACTAATCAAGATAATCTAAGAATCATAAATCTTTCATCCCTACATTTTCTCAACTTTTATACGTGGTAGTGTCGCGAATGAATTGAGTTTTAGGGATTGTTGAATTCTACAATCCACTATGAAGTTATTCAACACACTAAGGCCTCGTTTGCGAATAGGTTTTTTTAATAATTTTTTGATTTTTTAGTTAAAATATGATGTAAAAAAAATTAGTACGTTTGGGATGATTTTTTAATTTTTTACGAAAAAATATGTAAAAAATAAAAAAAAAAAAAATATTTAATTTTTTAATATAAATTGTTGATTTTTTAATTTTTTTAAGTACGTTTTTAACTTTTTGATTAAAAAAGTCACCCAACGATGCTTAAGAATAATAGCAATAGTAATTATCTGTGTCTACTTTTTATCAGGAATGAAACTGGATATGAAGCTGCCTGAGATCAATAACAATAACAACAACAACAACTACTACTACCACCGCTCAGCCACCACCGATGACAACGAATGCACCGTGCGCGAGCAAGACCGGTTCATGCCAATCGCCAATGTCATCCGAATCATGCGCAAAATCCTACCTTCACATGCCAAAATATCGGACGATGCCAAAGAAACAATCCAAGAGTGCGTGTCAGAGTTCATCAGCTTCATCACAGGCGAGGCGAATGAGCGTTGCCAGAAAGAGCAGCGAAAGACCATCACTGCCGAGGATGTCCTCTGGGCGATGAGCAAATTGGGATTCGATGACTACATTGAACCCCTCACTCTGTACCTTAACGGCTATCGTGAGTTTGAGGGTGATCGCGGGTCCTTAAGGGGCGAGCCCTTGACCATGGTTAAGAGGCCCGGTGAATTGGGTGGGTTGGCTTTTGCACCTGCGCCGTTTCACTTGAGTCATCACCATGGTTTCTTTGGATCAGCAGCAGCAATGGGTGGGTTTTTTAAGGATGCATCGAATGCAGGTTCGTCACAAGCTGCAATGGCTAGCGTTGAACACTATGTCCAGGCTCACAAGTGAATAAGAAATTGGTATGAGAATCCTAGATCTGAAGGGATCAAATGAAGAAAACTTTGGTTCTGTTAAGTGGTTAATTCAGGTGATGTTTGGGGTCTTTTTTTATTTTTTATTTTATTTAAGGTTGGTTATTGTGTAAGCACAACTAAGGTGCCTTTGTCATGCATGCAAAATATTGCGGCTTTTAATCAAGTGCTCCTTATTTCAAGTTACAAAGGCCTTGCAACCTTCGATGCTGATTTTGCACTTTATTTATTTATTTATTTTGGTAGTAATTCTATGTACACCAAAAAAACAAAAAACAAAAAAAGGTAATTAAAATATCATAGAGTGTGTTCGGTTTGTGTTTTGAGATAAATTTTTTAAAAAAAAATAATTTGGAAAGAGAGTTTAGAATTTTTTTTGATTTATTTGATTGTATATTTTGATAGTAATTTTGGAATTTGGAAGTTTGAGGTGATTTGATATTTTGTTGTAGTTGAGTAGATGTGTTTAAGAAAAAATAATTGAGAATGAAAGAGGAGAGAGAGAAAAAGTGATTAATTAATGTGTAAGAGAAAGAAAGTGATTTAAAAAAATCATAAGGTGCATTTGATTTGTGTTTTGAGATAAATTTTAAAAAAAAAATAATTTTGGGGCGAGAGTGTAGGATTTTTTTTGATTTATTTGGTTGTATTATTTCATACTAGTTTTGGAATTTGAGAGTTTGAGATGATTTGATACTTTGTTGTAGTTGAGTAGATGCGTGTGAGAAAAAATGATTGAGAATGAGAGAGGAGAGAGAAAAAGTGATTAATTAATGTGTAAGAGAGAGAGAGAGAGTGATTTTGAAATTTTTTTTTCAAAAAAATTGAACCAAATAAAATTTTAAATTTTTTTTCAAAAATTATATCTTGAGATACAAAAATAAGTCCATAGTACATCACAAAATCATTTTAGAAATAAGATATTAAATAAAATAAGACGTGTGATAAAATGAAGTTAAATTAAAAAAATAAAATAAAATAAGGTGGTTTGGGATGTTCTAAATAAAAAAAGTCAAAAAGTTTAAAAAGTCACTATCCTATTTAAATCACATCATCTTATTTAAGTCACATCACCTCTCTATTCTATTACTTCAAACCCAACCCATATTTCATAAAAAGTCAAAAAATGCACTTATTTAAAACATCTCAAACCACCCCTAAGTGTACTTTTTGACTTTTTATGAAATATGATTTTTGAAAATGTCCCAAAAAATGACAATTAGTGACCAATTTTATATTGTCACAAAATGTTTGATTTTACAAGACTAAGCATTTGATCACTAATACTTCGTCATAAAATGTCCCAATTTGGTCGCAAAAAACAAAATAATGACACTTTTAATAACTATGATATTTGGTCGCTAAAAGACATATAACTTTCTCAACAACACATTTTCGTCGCTAAAAATCAAAGTTAAATTTTGTAATCATTTAATCTCATAGCTAAAATGCACAAAATTAAATGTCATCCAATCATATTAAAAAAAATTTGACATCCACATATCAAACCCACTCTATTCCCAAACCATAATGAGTATATAAAAAGTAAATTTGACAAAAATTAAAACTAAAAGTTTCCAAATTCAGATCAAAGTAGTAACAGTTCAAATGAAGAATAGCAACAATACAATAGTTTCTACAAAGAAAATATCTAAAAAAGCATTTTCTCAACATCAATATCAGGCTTTATATCAGACAGGCTTGACACAAGAGGCTTCAAGCTGTACTTAGGTGTGACACCCTTTGGACATCCCTGCAACCCAAAATTCAAAAAAAAGAATCAAATAATAAGAATCAACACAACATAACCTCATTAAATAATCAATAGTCATTCATAATCAAATAAGTTACAAATAATGAAAAAACACGTTATCTCAGTGTACTTGAAGTATTAGTGAGCTATAATAAGAATCAACACAACAAGAAAGTGAGTCACCTAGAATCATATGGCCCCAAAGCGGGGGTGGTTACTATGCTACTGTATGATGATAACAAAATATGGGATTATATGTATGTTTACAGATTTATATAAATTAAACTGAGGGATGCTAGTTTTCATTTCAAGGCTGTGGGCTGTTCTAATTTCATTTTTGGACCCCCCCTAAAAAATGATTTAAAAATTAAAAAAACAATTAAAAAGTGTTAAGCACTTGCAATGTGTCTGCCATGAATTCTTTCAATTAGACACTTGCTAAAATTCATTAATGTCATCAAATAATTTCAAGTTTATAATAATAAGAAATCCATTAAGAATATGATAATCCCCAACTCTAACAGTTTCTTTCTTTACAACCAGACTATACCCTGTCCCATCATATTTCAAACCAAAGAAAGGAAATCTTCTTAAATTCGAATTGCATAGTGAGTCTTCTTTCTACTCAATTTATTCCAATAACCCAAAAGGAAAGACCGAGAAAGATTGTAGTTGAACATTGTTTCTCTTGTGATTTGTAACTTGGTTATTTCAAAACCAGGGATAGTAATCTGCTATAATATTTGAAAAATCTAGATTAGTGTTGGAAGAAGAATTCAAACTCTACTACCTAAATGTAAAAGAGTATAATATGTGTTGACCACCAAAATTATTGGTCTCAAAAAGTTACACAGCGTAACAGGAAATATCAAGAGTCATTTTGATAGTTTTATAAATAAATTATCACAAGTTTAATTTTGTCTCTAAAAGATTATTTTTAGGGACTAAATTTAATTAGTCCTTAAATATTAGTCGCTAAAAGACTAATTTCTTGTAGTGATTGTTTGTCATGTACTAAAAAAGTCAAAAAGTCACTATCCTATTTAAATCACATCATCTTATTTAAGTCACATCACCTCTCTATTCTATCACTTCAAACCCAACCCATATTTCATAAAAAGTCAAAAAATGCACTTATTTAAAACATCTCAAACCACCCCTAAGTGTACTTTTTGACTTTTTATGAAATATGAATTGAATATGGATTGAATTTAAAGTGATGTAGTAGAGTGTTGATGTGACTTAAATAAATAATAATTTTTTGACTTTTTAAAATTATGACAAATAAAATTTAAATTTGACCAATGTACATGTATTGTCGGCTCATTTAATATAAAATATGGAAAAATGATTTGGACCTCTAAAAAAACACCTCTAATGCACTTCTAATTTGTCTTTTTCTTCTCCTATTTTTGTCTTTTACTTCACTTTTTTTTTTTTTTTTAATTCCCGGACAGCTCATTAGAGCTGTACGGAATGACCTCTAATTAGAGGTCTGTAGCAAGATTGTACAAATAAATGATAAATTTTATAAGTATTAACGATTTTTTTTCAATTCCCAGACAGCTCATTAGAGCTGTACGGCAAGACCTCTAATTAGTGTCTGCAGCAGGATTGTAAAATATGAAACAATCTTTACTTACAAGACATGTGATAGAGTGAAGTGAACTTGAATAGAGATGGAATATAAAATATGAAATAAGTGAGCTTGAATGGAGATGGAATATAAAACATGAAAGGGCAATATTAGAGACCATTAAAAGTGACGTTTTAAAGTAATTATTAATGGTGTAACATTTAATTTTAAAAAAAAAAATAGACGCAACAAAATTGTAACAATGAATACTATCACATTATTAATAATAACACCAATTAATAGTCTCGCTCATTTTTCAATATGGAATCATCTTTACTAGCAAGACGTGTGATAGAGTGAAGTGAAGTTAAGGGTGGACATCGTTCAACAAATATGAAATCATCTTTACTGACAAGCCGTCTGATAGAGTGAAAGGGGGTTAATTTGATTGAGGATGTACATCAGGCCATCACAATGGATGTATTAAGGTCAAGTTTGACTAACTTAAAAAAGTGTACTTATTTTATCTTTTTATCTTTTTTTGGTCATATCAATCAACATCTCTTCTCTACTTTTTCTACACATAATACAAAAAAATTCAAAAAATGCACTTATTTAGTCTTCTCAAACTTGACGTAAAATTGTGTAGTAAAGTGTGTTATATGGTAAAAAATATTAATAGTGGGATTGAAAAATATGTGTTAAGAGTTTGTTAATTTAGTGAGTGAATAATGAATGAATGGTGGTACAATGAATTTGTTAAGGGGTGTGTTATATATATATATATATATGTATGTATATAATAAATAAAATAAATAAATAATTTAGTTTAATCAAAAATTTCAAGCCTAGAATTAAATTTCAAGTCTAAAAAAAAATCTCAACAAGTTAAAAATAAATAAATTTTCTGTTGACCGGTCAATCGGCCGGACATTCGGCCGGTCAACCAGTAAAACAAAAAAATGTTCCCCTTCTAGGGCTGAGCAAGGAATCCGTGAAATCCGTAATCCGATCCAGTCCAGTCCAATCCGATAGGTTTGGATTGGTTTTTTGAATCCGCGGTTCGGTTCCGGATTGAAGAATTAAAAATCCGTAGTCCACGGATTGGTTCTGGATTGAACCCCACGGTTCCGGATTGGAACCGATCCGGACCGTATACAAATAGTCTATATTTTTATTATACATCCTCCCCCATAGTATCTTCTCTTATTCTATATAAAATCTAAACTCAAATCTAAAACCGTATAATATCTTATTTTATTACTTTTGTTTGTATTTTCTTATGGTTGTTTAAATTCAAGAGCAGTATGTCACTATTATAAAAAAACATGTTGCTATTATGGAACTGATATAGCGCTATGTTTATATTTTTATGAAATTAAAGTGTTATATATATATATATATTTGTTATTTAATTATGTGAATCCGTGGTCCTAAACCGATCCAATCCGTATTTAAATGGATTGGTTCGGATTGGTTCCATGATTTAAACGGATTGGATTGGTTTCAATTTTTCAGGAACCGTAGATAACGGATTGGTCCTGGTTTTACCCCAATCCGGTCCAATCCGGTCCATGCTCACCCCTATCCCCTTCAATAGCTAAAACGCTAGCTGCAGATAACAAACATATTAACACACACCACTAATACACACCACTAATACACCTACTAACATCTCTATTGTGAGAGCAAAAGCAGAAAATAACTTGCTAAAAAATAACAACTGATACTAAAACACTTACTAGCAGCTCCACTGTGGATGCTCTCAGTCGGTTAAACTCTGCTAGTAGATGTTTGGGATAAATTAAAAAACGGTATTTTTTTATTTATATATATTTATCTGGATCATATTAATTAATATCTATCAA